ATTTATTGAATAGTCTATTTTTGTTATTGTTTATGTAAATTTTTTATATTTGTAACCTGCCAATAACAATTATTTGAACAACTGCAATGGTCAGTCAACAGACCACTCAGGCTTATCGACACAAAAAATAACATTTTTTGTTTGTCATAATCACATCTTGTAATTATTTGACAGGAGTTTTACTTTTAAAATGTGAGTGTGTTTAATTTAGTTATGATGTAAATACAATAAAAATTAAACCAAGATTTAGAATAATTATCATTTTGATCCATACATTAGTAATGTCTGACTGGGCCTCGTGCCACTTTATGTTCAATAAACTGGGCCCTGAGGTCAGAAAGATCAAGAACCCCTGGATCACTGAGAGACAACGGTATGTGGTCTTCTTTTTGTCTTCTACATCCTTGCATATTGTTTTAGAACATCAACATTTTTTCAGACTTTTTTTTTCTAAAGGAAGTCCCAAATTTCTATTGGATTTTAAAGATTTCAGTTGTTGTATGTTGGAAAAAAAACATTTCAACACTTCTGAATTTTTTCAGTTTAAAGTACCTGCTTTTAAAACACTGAGTATATAATAGTGAATGCCAGGGAAGAGACTATTTCAGCTTGATGCTTCAATGTTTGCTCCTCTTCATGAACCCACAGTGAAGCATTTCATTTCAACTACACTTGAATTGATCAAATTTGCAAATGTGCATTTAATTAAAGTATTAAGACTCTGTTTGGACCCTTACAGTCCCCAGGAGCCCCATAATCCTTTGCTTTATGTTTGTGCACAAAACCTAAAGTGCATTTCTACACAGATTGGGTACATCTAATTAAAACTATCAGAATTTTCTTTAGACTTATTATAACACTATAAGATTGTCACATATTTGTAGTGTTTGATTCTGAATCAAAGCAGCATAGTTTTGCTTTAAATAATCCACACCTGCCAATCATGATCACCTTACGAGCAGATGTGACATTTCTCAGATATTGATTCATTTCTATCTCAGCCCACCAATCCAAAAGCACTGAGGGGATTATTGATCTGCAGGTCTATTAAAACCAAACAAATCAAGCTTTTCTTTGGTGTTTTCTGTGTTATTTTCCTTCATGGGAGAAGTTCAACACCTCAGCTTTATAAAAAACAAAACCAAAAAAGACATAAAAAGTTTTTATTTTCTTATCTTGTTGCAGAGTTCGGAGTCTGTTATCTTTGCTACGAGCAGCAGAAACTCGTGTTTTAATGTCACGTCTGACCACAGGGCAGAAGAAATGTCAGACCGCTAACAGGCAAAAAATAAAAAAATTAAAAAAATAAACTTAACCCCTCCTCCACACAAACCCACCAGCCCATTTCCCTGGCAAATCATTGTGACCTTTACCCTTACTGTGCACACATTGTTTGTTGTTGTTGTTTTATCTYGAAATCACACAAAGACCTGTATAAAAATATATAATATA